CAGGACACACTCCTGATTTAATTCCTGGGTGGGCTCCACATATTTTCCCACTGTCTGTTCAAAATTTCCCACTGCCTGTTCAAAATTTCTAGTCGAAGTCGTCATCAACTTCACCTTCTCATGTAACTGTTCCAGTAGGGCATTTGTTTTGTAGAAAGCACACAACAAAGCTTCTGAATACATTGTCCTGCAAGGTCAAATGCCTATTCCCACGATTGTAATCTGTAAACAGCTGCCGGCTCCCTGGAGTTGGTTACAGTTTCACAGTCTCCCTCTAGGGGAAAACTTCTATTTGATCTTTCAACAAAGTTTCCCATTTTGAGATACTTTGTCAATATTTGTTCCTTTGAAATGCGAAGGGAAACAGTGGAATCACTATGTTTCTCTTCTTTTAGCTATCTGTCAAAAACGTTTGTCTCTGGTCAATGAACTTCAAACGTCAGTCCTGACACCCCGCTCCAGGATCAGGACGGAGGAAAGTTGCTTTACTTTAAACTCACTTTAAACAGTCCAAAAAGATCCCCCTTCTTCTCCTGCTGTCGAAGGGGGGTTCCACAATTTTAAATGATGAAATCCAATCCTTTAAAAGCGATTTTCTGAGCTCTAGTTTACGTTGTCTTTGCTTTATTCTGTCTACAGAAGAACGGAAGGCTGACTTCCTGCTTAGACCTTCCTGTTCCGTACCAAATTGAAATAGATTTTTAAGATCCAATTCCTTTCTGCTCGCAAGTCCCCATCTAATGTTCAGTTGTTCAAAGTCTAAGTACTCATGGGTGTTTATTTTAGAGTCCAAATTGTCCCAGGAAAAAGGCAGCGCTCTCCGGCAACAGCTATGCGGCTTCGCTCCACGGAAATAGCAGTTGACTCACAGCACCGCGCCACTTCCCCCTCTTCACTTCGGAGCCCGTTAGTGGGTTCCTTAGCGAGTTGGGGGGGGCGCTAAAGGTGCCCGCCGAGTCCCATGGTCACAGGCTTCATCCGCCTGTGATTTTTGAAAGGGTCCCCGCTTCGCCGTAGCGGAGAAGACCCGTTTCCCACGGAGCTAGTCCCTCCAGTTCAGAGGGAGTCCGCCATTGCCGATGGCGCCACCCCGGAAGTCCTTTCTCCCCGATTTAGATTTAGTAACAGTTTCACAGGCTCCCTCTAGGGGAAGAACTTCTATTTGATCTTTTCTTTTAAAAGTAGATCTAGCAACAAAGTTTCCTTTTTCAGATATTTTGTCAATATTTGTTCCTTTAAAATGCGAAGGAGAACGATGGAATCACTATGTTTCTCTTCTTTTAACTGTCTGTCAGAGACGTTTGTCTATGATCAATGAACTTCCCAAAGAATGTCAGTCCTGACACCCCGCTCCCAGGTCCGAGACGATGGAAAATTACTTTTCTTTACACTCTCTTCTGCAGGTTTAACCAGTCCAGAAAAAATCCCCCCTCTTCTCCTGCTTCCGAAGGGGGTTCAACAATTTTAAATGATGAAAGTTAATCCTATACAAACGATTTTCTGAACTCTAGTTTGCCATGTCTTTGCTTTAATCTATCTACAAGAAACGGAAGGCTGACTTCCTGTTTAGACCTTCCCGTTTCAGTGCCAAATTGAGAAGAATTTCTTAGTCCAATTTTCCTTTCTACTCGCAGGTCATTATTTAAAGTCCAATTATTCAAAATTGAGCTACTCACGGGTAATTGTTTTAAAAGCCAAATTGTCCCAGGAATAAGGCAGCGCTCTCTGGCAATGGCTATGCGGCTTCGCTCCACGGAAGAAGCAGTTGACTCTCAGCACCGCGCCACTTGCCCCTCTTCACTCCGGAGCCCGTAACTGGGTTCCTTTACAAGTTGGGGGGGCGCGAAAGGTGCCTGCCGAGTACCATGGTCACAGGCTTCATCCGCCTGTGATTTTCCAAAGGGTCCCCGCTTCGCCGTAGCGGGAAAGACCCGTTTTCCGTGGAGCCAGTCCCTACCGATGGCGCCACCCCGGAAGTCGTTCAGGGAAGTTTTTAATATGTGACATTTTAGTGTATTTTTCATCTTTGTTGGAATCCGCCCAGAGTGGCTGGGGAAACCCAGCCAGATGGGCGGGGTACAAATAATAAATTATTATTATTATTATTATTATTATTATTATTATTATTATATCATTGTGGTTATGAGGGGCAGGACAGGTGAGGGAAGCTTTTTCTCCCTTCCACAATGGAGTAGCTCTTCGTGCCCCTGTCTTTCAGTCTCTGGGTCTTCATACTGTGGGCCAAAGCCACCACAGGGAGAAGAGTGGGGTGGTGAAGAAGCTTTGCATCCCCACCCCCCACCCACAGGTGAGAGGAGATACTGTAGGCTGCCTCAGAAGCTACAAAACAAGAAAAAGCAAAGCTACCGACTTCCGCACTGGAGGCAGTTTGACAGAATGAGCTTTTCATTAGGATTTTGGGAATTATAGGGACAGAACTACCTAAAATGTATAGAAATTTATCCATGTATGATACTACAGCGGCAAGAATGTTACTTGCCCCGAAATGGAAAGAAGCAGAAGTCCCAGCAAAGGAAGAATGGATATGAAAACTTATGGAATATACAGAAATGGCGAAACTTACCGGAAGAATAAGAAATCAAGATAACTTTCTATCTCTCTCTCTATATATATATATGAGAATGGAAATGGTTTATTGAATATTTACAGATAAATTTAAACAGGTAAAAACATTGGCAGGATTATTGTAACAACCTGCAGTTCTATAAGAGTATATATTGAAAGAAGATGAATAAAGGAGCAAATTAAGTTAATTTGGATGTGCAGAAAATATGAAAAACAAATTTAAGGAACCGCAGAAAGAGGGGGAAGGAAGTCAAGTTTTGAAATGTCAAAATGATTGTAAATTTAGTGGAAATGTGTAAACTTGAAAAGAATGAATGAATGAATGAATGAATGAATGACTTCAGGCAGCACATTGCAGAATAGGTTTCAAATTCTGGGGATCTGCTTCTGCCAAAAAAATTTACTATACAGGGAAATGGTAGGCCTCAGAAGATTGAGAGGCTTTGTCAAATTTGTAGCCCACCATGCCAACCTGTAACCATTCAGATATTATTGGGCACAAACTGCCATCCTAGATGATGGGAGTTGTAGTCCAGGCACATCTGGAGGACCACAGACTCCCTATGCCTGGCCTGCAACATCTCAACATGCAAAGGTTGGGGCAGCGCAGCAAGGGAGGTGCAAACATCAGTCATGGGGCTAGAAGCCCATCCTCACTGCTAAAGCCACACATGAGTGCCATGCATATAATGAAACCTGTGAATAGGGCTTCGGGTTCATAGCTTGGGAGTTCTCCTGTATCAAAGGGCATGCTATGAATACCTATGCAGCCATGTTGGCAGCAAAGAACTGCCTTTCTCCAGCATAGCCTCTGCAGGGAAACAGTTCTCTAGCTCCAACACAAATTTAAATATTTCTGCTTCTTTAATTTTTATGTTCCAGGGCCCATGGAACTCTCCTGCCTCTAAATTTGGATTTTCTCGATCTGACCTTTTTCTGCCGTCACCTATTCCCTTAGAATGCATTTTAAAACTCCTGAGAGCCTGGTATGGTAGGCTTTGGTGTGCGATTGCCACCAACACTAGAGCCAGAGCCATCTATTAACTGTTTATCAAAGGGTTATTATGTACATAAGGGGAGTACTGGTGTTTACACTGAGGTCTTACATATGCTTAGTGACAGTTTCTAAGGACTCCAGAGACGCTGGCTGTGTACACATTGCCAGCTTAAAATGAGGCAACGTTAGGCTTTTCTAGCTGCTTTCATTTCGAATTTCCTCACCATTGTAAGCATCACTACTCTTTGATGTGTTTCCACCTCCTCCGCTGTGTGTCCTCAAGAGCAGGTGAGGATGTCATTGTCTGATGTGACTTACCTGGTTGCCCCACCCTTTCACCCACCCCAACCTGTATTCATAACACTTTCCTCCCTGAGATAATCTTTATGAGGTTGTCATCTCCCTTCCATGTGAGAAAGCACAAGATATGAACCTGACAGGGGAGCCATGAACATGACCACTTAAAAGGAGCCGTCAATAGGGCTTACTCTCAAGTAAGGGGGTTAGTAGGACCACAGCTTAAAGCAGCGATCCTAACCCCACTTACCTATGTGCCAGGCCAATTGAATTACCAGAGCCGGCCCAATACATTTTAGCACTTGAGGCGGACCTCAGAATGGTGCCCCCCTCCCTGCCAGGGAATAAGGGGTCAGGGAAAATGTACATCAGGAACAGGGAAGGAAGAAAGATTGACGTTGAGATCTACTGCCCCAGTGGACCCTGCTGCCTGAGGCGTTTGCCTCACCTTGCCTCATAGGTGGGTTGGCCCTGGGGCTTACATCTGATTAGATATAGTTAGGAATGTGCTGTTAGTTTTTGAAGAACTGATTGTTGTCTATACTACAATGCGGTCTGAGAATGCTGATCACCTGGATGATCTGTACATATTTAATTGAAAAGCATGTTTTACCCACAGGTACACAGAAAGAAAGAAATAAAGAAAAGGAAGGAAGGAAGGAAGGAAGGAAGGAAGGAAGGAAGGAAGGAAGGAAGGAAGGAAGGAAGGAAGAAGGGAGGAAGGAAAGAAGGGAAAGTATAAAAGCTCAAAAAACAAAAAATAAAATGGGGAGGGGGTTCAAGGGAAGGTTACCAGACGTCCCCGTTTCCTGGGGACAGTCCCCAGATTTACAGCTTTCTCAGCATTCACATGTATGTAGTGAGCAATAAGTGTCCCCGGATTCATTGAAAAAATCTGGTAACCTTAGTTCAAGGAAAGAGGATTCACCAGAGGAAGGAGAGTTAGATGGGTTTAGACTGCCAAGTGCAACTGTGCCGTGCCAGTAACAACCCAAAAGACAGCAGGAGCTGGGATTGGCTCCCAGCAGTGGCCAATGGGGTCACATCACCAGCAGGCAAAGCCAGCCTGATTGGCTCCCTCCCCTCACCGCAGCAGGAGTGCAAGCAAGGATGGTAGGAAGGCAAATGAGATTGCTCCACCAGCCATTTCAAATGCACACACCTGGGCTTAGGTACAAATTGGATATGGCTACTGATCTCAAGTTGGGTCAGAGCTGGCTTGGATTCGCACGAAACAGCAGCAGCTAACAAGAAACTACAGGATACCTCTAGATAGTAGCTAACGGTATGCGTACACAGATTCGAAATCCAGTGGTGGGAGCACACTGGTGTCAGAGTAAAAGGCTTTTACCTCAGGCCAAATTCACTCATCATATTGTTGTCCAACAACTGGGGACAATGTGCTTCTGACCCCAGAACTTCTTCAGTTGTATGTCTGGCTGCTTGGACAGTTTAGCCGATTTAAAAAACTCACTTGTGTGACCTTCTTCTGGTAAGGCCTTTGCACGGATCATCCTCTCTTGGCCCTTCTTTGATCACCACCAGCAAAGTATAGTTATCACACTGGGGAATAATAGCTTAATATTCAGATCTCAGCTATTCTTTCACCTCAGCTTTATCTGGTCAACTGACTTCCTCAACCTACGTTACTTCTGACAGCTAACTGCCATTTCTTCACGGGCTGGAACCTCCAGTCAATCAATCTGTAGTTTCCCAGACCAATCAAAATGAATTTACCCAATCCAAGCCCTGTCTATAAATACTAAAAGCAACACACGCACACGCACCCCTTGCCACCAAATAGTTATTGCCAATCAAGTCTGCATCATAGTAGCAGCATAAGGCCTTGATCTTGGACAGTTATTTTCTGACATCGGAGAGGACATCTTTGTTTGAGGCTCTGTCTTGCTATGTGATTTCACAAATCTTCCAGACACAGCTCATGTAGAAGGCATTGAGGCATTGCTCCTGGCGGTTGTACGTTGCCCATGGCTCGCTTCATTAAAGCAGCATGCTCAACACACAAGCCTGGTAAACCTTCATTTTTATATTGGTCATTAGCATCACATTCTTCCACCCTGTTTTGGAGAGGTGACCCATTGCCATAGCTGCCTTGCCAAGGCGCTTGTCCAGCTCAGTGTCAATGGAGAAGTGGAGTCCAGGTAGACAAAATTGTCTATCACCTCAAGCATGTGGTCACCAATGCTGATGTGTGGAGTGCTGGCAGTGTCTGGGCCCAAGGATGTTGGGCTTTGTCAGGCTGGTGGTACCGGTACCACAAACATACATTTTTAGCTCACAGTGATGTAATTCAGGGGAAATGTTAATATTTCACAGACATGCTGGAACATTCAGTCCTAAGGCCAATAAACAAACTAGGAGCGAACAAGTTGCCTTCAAACAGGAACCCAAACATTTGTACAGTAAATATGATCTCTGAATAGATGAGATATTTCAGCTTGAGTGCCTTCTGTGGCCTGGAGAAAGAGGCTTATATGGTCATCATTCTGGGGCATCCATGCAACACAGAAAGAAGAAAAGGATCCAGTACAAAAAAGAAAAGAAAAGAGAGAGATGTTGTCTTTACAAGGGAACTTTAGTCTTGTGTCCCTGAGGAAGGCTGTCATCAATCAAAATGTATTTGTTCACAGGTTGTTTTCCTGGTCCTTTGATTCAAGTTTTCTTGGCTAAAAGTGACAAATAGACATATGAATTGTTGGATCATTTTTAAAAAGACATTTAAGCTACTGGCTCTCACTACATTTTGTGGTAGCGAATTCTGGAAATTAATTATGATCCTCTTTACTTGTAAATTATATCCCCTCCCCATGCTGTCTGCATGCCTTTGGTTAGGCTGCATTAACTGAGTTGTCCCATTGTATAGGATTTTTCTTATTTGTTTATTTAAGACATTTATATACAACTTAATTCTATGCAGTTCTAAGAGGTGTCCCATAAAATCAGCTCACAGAAATTGAGGCAATAAAACAGCAAAAATTATCATAAAACCAAATGCTACCTTAAAATGCCCTCTGGAACAGGAAAGTCTCAAGTCAAGCATTTGAAGTTTATCTAAACTCAGCTGGGAGGGAGTTTTCTGGACTTGCATAGCTTTTAGTAGTTACAAGTCATGCCTCTGAGCCTTGGGGGACCACCAGTAGAGGTTCCCCACAATATCTCTGTTTGTTAACATGTGGGATTTACTGAAACTTGGTGATGTCCTCTAGCTTTTTTTTTTTTAAAGGATTAAGCAAGCTCATAGAATCAGCCAATGGCTGTTAGACATGATAGCTAACTTGTGAACCACCATGCAAAGCACAGCTCAACCAAATTTCACATCCTCCCAATTCTGTAACAGTCTCCTGGTTTCTGCAATCAGTTCCAATGTGGCAAAAAGTGAAACAGGAAGTTTCAGCTCCTACTGAACTATCATATGTGACTGGTTGGTTCTGTTCAGCTTGGTAAGTTACAAATTGTGCAGCCCTGCTTAATCGAACTTCTCTAACTAGAGGCAGTCTACCTCTGAAAAGGGATGCAAGTGGCGTTGTGGTCTAAGCCACTGAGCCTTGGGCTTGCCGATCGGAAGGTCGGCAGTTCGAATCCCCACGATGGGGTGAGCTCCCCTTGTTCAGTCCCAGCTCCTGCCAACCTAACAGTTCGAAAGCACGTCAAAGTGCAAGTAGATAAATAGGCACCACTCCGGCAGGAAGGTAAATAGCGTTTCCGTGCACTGCTCTGGTTTCGCCTGAAGTGGCTTAGTCATGCTGGCCACATGACCCAGAAGCTGTACGCCGGCACCCTTAGCCAGTAAAGTGAGATGAGCGCCACAACCCCAGAGTCGTTCGCGACTGGACTTAAGTGTCAGGGGTCCTTTACCTTTACCTCTGAAATGCTGGTTATGATCTTCCATCCATCTGTGCCTTAAGACTCCATGTTGGTTTTTCCTTTCTTAAACAGCTACCCTTTTGGAATTTGGTAAAAGCAGAAATTCAAACAAGTAATATTTTCTAGAAAATTCACATGTGTAAAGACATATTTGGGCTCGATACACTGCCTACTGTGGTACCCGATAGCTGCTGCCACCGTCTTATTTTGTAGCATCATTGTGTGCTCTGACGCTTTGGGTCTTTCAACTGCTTTGTCCCATCTTTTTTCTGCAGAGAACTGTCTAGCTCTTCACATCTTGACCTGGTCTCTTGCAGAACCCCTGAATCTCGCTGGATGTTGTCAGTGACTAATGAGTAAGGCGATGTAATGAAAAACACAAAGGGGAGGGGAAAGGCGAAGGGGCTGCTGCGCCGGAATATGACAGTCAACCCCACACCTAACAAAGGAAAACAGCATAAGAGATGCCACAGCGCCCTCTGTTCCTCTTCACCAAAGTCCTCTACAAAATCAACAAAAGATAGCACTGCAGTTCTCTCTAGGTTATTTCCCCCCGCCTCTGAAGCTACAGTTCTCCTTTGCTGCAGGCCATTCCATCTGTCTTTCCAGTTTTTGCATTTTCTCCTGTGGGTTGAGCGTTAATGGCTTGTGCGTGAGCGATGGACAAAAGCTGTGCATGTACCCTTGTCTCTACCCTAGGTGTGCACACAACTATAGGCAGTAGTCAACATTTCCTCAGCATGCTTCATCAATATATGCGGGCTGAACTTGCTGATGCCACCTGCCTCTGAGGACATATAAGGTCAGCTTTCCTTACTCTTATTCCACTGTTACCTCCTTGCAGAAGGGATCAAAAACATCTACAGTTTCAACAGGGTTTGGGGCTGGACTGCTTTCAGTCGTGGAATGTCATAATTTTAAAGATTTCGGCTTGAAACACTGACTTGACTCTTTCAACCACCCAAGGCTGATTCTGGCAAGATCTAGCCCCCAACATCTGGAGAGATGACCACATGAAGCTACCTTTTAACAGACTAGACCAGGCATAGGCAAACTCAGCCCTCCAGATGTTTTGGGACTACAACTCCCATCATCCCTGACCACTGGTCCTGTTAGCTAGGGATGATTGGAGTTGTAGTCCCAAAACATCTGGAGAACCAAGTTTGCCTATGCCTGGACTAGACCTTTGTTCCATCCAGTTCCATACTGTCACCTCCAACTAATCATTAAAATTTTCCAGAGAGCTAACCGTGTCAGTTTCTTGCAGGAAAAACAGTGATGAGACTTGTGGTGTCTTAAGTCCATTGTGGCGTAGGTTTGGTGGACACAAGGCCCTTTACGAATTAAACTTGGGTCCTTCAAAGTTTATGCCATAGTAAATGTGTCCATCCTTAAGATGGCTCAAGACAGTTTGCCGTTTATTTAAAAAGTTTATATCACATCCTTTCAAGGGTGCTGACTTGCCTCCCTCCCCCCACATTGAGGGGGCACAGCCATGTGACACGTCATGTGACGCCACCCACCATGTGCCAAGCAGGAGCAGGACACGCAGAGGGTGATCTTCATGATTGTTCATCTCAGCTGCCCAGCTCCTGGGTTCCTGGGCTGCTGGGTGGAGGCTAGGACAAGCAAAGGCAAATATCTCCCTCGCTGGTCCCAGCCACCGCCCAGCTCCTGGGCTGCTGGGCGGAGGCTGGGGCTGGGGCAGGCGGAGGGTGCCCAGCAGTGGGGTGTGGTGGTGGCAGCCCCCTTAATATTGGGGGGGTCTCTGCCCCTGCCCAAAAATATTGGGGGAGCTGAAGCCCCCTCTGCCCCCTATACCGTCTGCCCCTGCATCCTTGTTGGGAATCTGTATATGTGCAGCTTTTCACACAGAGTCAGTTAGGGTTTGGCAGACAGCCAAGGCAGTGTGAAGGAGTAAGTCTGCCTGGTGATACAAGGCATGGAGACAGCTCCATGATTGGTCAAGCTCTCTCACGGGAGTAATGATTAATGGCCTACTAACTGGAAAGTGTCAGTGTATGAGGTTGAGTTCAGGAATTGTGAGTCGTGTATGAAAGAGCAAGTTAAAGATCCGTGTTCTGCTCTGTTCCTGTAAATAGTCCACTGTATATAATAAACACCTATATCTACAAGTTCCTGGTTCCTGCTTCGTCCATCCTGTCTGCAGCCAAGTTGCCAATTGCTTCCGTGGACTCTGCGTATACTCTGCTAGGTCTGGCTAAGGTCCTGCAACAAGTCAGAAAGTTGCGAAACACCAACAGGTTTTGCCAATAATCCTTTCTACAGCTGCTTATGTAGGTTCACAGCCTCAATTTAAAACAATTTCATCCAATCATTAAACTGAAAACAACTGTCTCTGTTGTGAGCGTTAAAAGCAAAAACAGCAGCCGCACTACCAATATAAAAGCAGAGCACTCCCTCCACGTAACAGAGGTCACACAAAACAGGTGGGTTTCACAAAGGTGTCAAAAGGCTTTATTCCATAAAGTTGGGGCCACCACTTTTCATTATGGCTAGCCCCCTCCCCTGGGTGATGCCGTTCCCCTCCCCTTTAGCGCCTTGGCCCGGGTGCTGGCAACTCACACTATGCCACTGTTCAAGACGTACTAAACTACATTGAAAAGCACATGAATGCACATGAATGCACTAAAGTACATTGAAGTACACGATGTGGTTACTTCTTTAAATGCCAGCAGGTGGAGCTATTATGTTGGTCTTTTAGAATGCTATGGCTAAAACGGCATCAGAAGCAAGGTAATGCTGGCAGGAAAATGCGGGCGTGAGGGGTTTTGTGGGACTTTATTTAACTGGCAGCATCCCTTGCAATCTCTTTTCTTATACAGCTTTCTTCCAGCGGGCTGCTGAGGAACGGGAGGGCGAGCGGCAGATAAAGCAGAAGATCCTATTTAGGTGTGATTCATTATCCGCATAGCTCCCATTACTGGCATTTACTGCAATAACATCACAACATGATAATTAATTCCCTTCAATTAATTACAGCATCACTGAAGGAGAGGAGGAACTGTTGCAGATCACAAAAGGCACAGTAACAATTAGCATTTCGAACGAGCTGGTCCCTATACTTGCATGCGCACACTTATTCGTATTTTTTATTGTTGTCTGTAGACGAGTTTTAATTAGGGCTTTGGAAACGTTATATTTGTTTTTAAACCTGCATTAAATAATATTATCTAACAATAGGATTTCCCACACAAACAACAGGCCCTGTTTGTTTCTTTCTTTTTCCTTTTGCTCATCATCTGCCTTGACGCTCTTCCAGATTCGAGCAACACATTTGCAATATTTAGCCAATGAATTGGTTAATCAACCCAAAACCTTTTCGTCGATTAGAAGGGCAACACTCATTAAATTCAGCAGCAGTCTTTTTTAAAAAAAAAAAATTAATGCAAAAATAAGGTCATTTGAAAAGAAATGAAATACTTCATCTTATGTATGTGAATATGAAATATAAATATAATGTCTTAATATCATGTATCCAGATACAAGAGGTTAAATATGTTTTAAAGAGTGTTGTATATACCTATTAGGTGCTCTTGGTTACTATTATATTTTAAACAGAACATCAGATTACATGTGTGTAAATAATATATAAGGTTGAACATAGTCTTGGCATTTTACTTTCCAATAATTAACGGACTCAACTTTTCAGTAAATTTATTGATGCACATCAGACACTATGTTTTAAAACATGTAAGTTTTGTCAACAATGCTATAATCCGTACATTTTAATACCATTGCAAGATGTCAGCTGGTTTATCTGATTTCCAGATTCTTGCTATAACTAGTCGGACGACAGTCTTTTAATATCTTCCAATGTAACAACACAGATGCACATGGCAAGGAACTCACAAGTCACTTAATCTCAACAGCAAGAAATATCATAACTAGACACTAGAAAGACCTATCAGGAGTGAACATACACCACTAGTACCAAAATGTATGGGAAACCACTTTACTAGAAAAATTAACCAACAAATTAAACTAGCACTAGTACATAGAAATCATAGAAATCTTAGAGTTGGAAGGGACCACGAGGGTCATCTAGTCCAACCCTGAAATGCATGAATCTTATGCCCAATATGGGTCTCGAACCCACAACCCTGACATTAAGAGTCTTGTGCTCTACCAACTGAGCTATATAGTGTTATATGTACTTTTCTTTATTTGTTTGTATCACCAAAAAAATCCTTAATAACAACTAATTTAAAATATTTTAATAATTGTTTTTAAATACATGAACTTGTAAATATCATTGATGGAGGCACCAGCTTAGAAGATTCATTCTTTCCTCTCTTTCACAGGAGGTAATGGGGTTTTTTGCCTGCTATGACAGGCAACTTCTGAAAGCAAGGAAGAAATGAGAAGATATACTGCATGTCATTTGCCCCCGAGGAGAGGCCCTGTAGCCGAAGTAGGTACGTGACTTCAGCAAAATAGATTAGAAACACAGCTATATAGTGTATGCATATTAATTACCCACAATGCCACATATTGCGCTGTAAGTATATTGCGCTGTAAGTATATATTGTATATTGCGCTGTAAGTATAGTAAGCAATATGAATGGAGGAAGGCAATTAACCTGTAGCTTTTTGTGGACAACAAATCACTGCTAGTTGGGCCAGCACCAAAAAGGCCAGCACTCAAGGAAATTATCCTTTTCAGGTCAGCCCTTGCATTATTTTCTTTGCGAAGCATAAAGTTCAGCCACAAAACCACTGTGTACACTGGGAGTGTGTGTGCAATAAATAAATGGTGACTTTTACTGAGACTGCTCAAGGTACATAGGCAAATATGCCATGAAAAGTAAGGATGAAATGTTTTAAAAATTACAGGGCTATGTGGCAACCGATTTCAATGTACACTGGAAATGGAAGAGAGTTAATAAATAAGAAAGTTGGGGACTTGAGCAAAGTGGTCCCTTGCCGGGGGGAGGGACCCCAGAACCTTAATGGGATTGTGATGTTAACAAACTCCAATTTATCAGAAAAAATGTTGGGGAGAGGCAATAGCCACAGCTACTGTATTCCAGAACAGTCAACTAAACTCCATAAGAATTACAGCATGGAGAAAAACCTGGTATTTGGCAGAAAAGCATATGTATATGTTCCAGAAGAGAATACAGCAAACTACAGAATAAAGCAGTTGAAGGGATTCTTGTTGGGTCCGGCAAACCTTCAGCAGATGAACATCATCATAAACTATTAAGTAAAAAATTACAAGCTCTCCGTACTTGGCAGAATCTCAGTTATCAAAATGAACCTACTGCCCAGGTTGCTGTTTTCATTCCAATCAATACCAATTGTAAAACAGAAAATGTTAAATATATATATACAAAAAATAATAATAAACTATTAAGTAAAATTAGCCTAGGGGGTTAATTCATACAGTATGTCTGTTGAGAAGGGATGCTGGAATGGGCAACAGTATTTAATTAATGCCCACTGCATTGAGAAGAAAAGTCTACTAAAGGGTTGATGTATCTGGGTGTGTGGTGTGGGGAGAGCACCCTCAGGAAGTGGCCTTCCTGAGTCGTAAGCAGGGCCAGCTGATCCATGAGGCAAACTGAGGCAGCCGCCTCAGGCAGCAGAATCCAAGGGACAAAACTGTAGACACCACTGCCGCCAGAGAAGCAAGGAGAAATGGCAAACTCAGTGTCCAAGTTCCGATAAGATCTCACGAGATCTCACCAGAATCCACCACTGCAGAGCACAGGGCTCCACCTGAGGCCACCCCTGGTTGTGTGTTTAAGTATCAATTTCCCCTGCCTTGCTTGTTCTGTTGTAACATGGAATGGCTGGTCATGCTAAGCAAAGGAAGAAGAAGAAGAAGAAGAAGAAGAAGAAGAAGAAGAAGAAGAAGAAGAGGAGTTTGGATTTGATATCCTGTTTTATCACTACCCAAAGGAGTCTCAAAGCGGCTAACATTCTCCTTTCCCTTCCTCCCCCACAACAAACACTCTGTGAGGTGAGTGGGGCTGAGAGACTTCAGAGAAGTGTGACTAGCCCAAGGTCACCCAGCAGCTGCATGTGTAGGAGCAGAGACGTGAACCCGGTTCCCCAGATTACAAGTCCACTGCTCTCACCACTACACCACACTGGCTCTCAAAGGATCCTGTTTAAACCTTACAGCAGTGTCAATCTTCCTCGGAATAAGACAAATAACTCGCTTTGAAGCATATCCCCTCCACCGAATGTGCAGAAAATCGCAGGGCAGCATCCCTCCACCTTAGAACTTTGCCAATTAACAAAAGGGACCAGTCCCACCGTTGTTCAACATCCTGTAAAAGAACCCTGATAAATGGTATCCCCTCTGGGCCTCAAGATTTCTCCCCACCCTCCTTCTAATTTAATCAATTTTGCAAATTGGGCTGATGTGCTTAATTGATCTTTTTCACTTCTAATATTTTCTCTGCCGTTCTCTTTTGCACAGCGCCTGCCCTCGTCTATCCACACTTATTCTACAGGAAAGCAGAAACAAGATCCCTCCAAAATGGAGACTTTCTGCCCTGTCTTCACATTTAAAGTGGCTTGCAAAGAACAGAGCCTCGAAAGAAGGACATATCGACAGTGCAGGGAAGCTAAACCACAGATCACACGGCGCTACTTTTCTGTAAGGATCCAGACATTAAAGCTGAACTTCCTGTCATTTGGAGCTAATCTATTTCTGCTAGGAAACACGTTGGCAGTGACAGGTGAGGGTCTTTATGGTCTAACTGAAACAACAATATCCCCAGAAAAAAGCTGTAAAGAAGAGCCAAGTATTGACCACAAGAAACAGAGAGAAACAGTAGATAGTGGGAGCTGACAGGAAACCCAATTTCCTTACTGCTTAGCTGTGTATCTGAAAAGGTCAGAACTAAATGACAAAATTGCTCCAAGGCTTTTATTTTTTTATTTTTTTGCAGAGAAGAATTTCAGCTCACTGCTACAGGTGGACAAAGGATGTGTTCACATTTTGTGTTTTACCAAAATCCTCTTTCCTGTAAGCATCCTGACAGGGCCACCCATAGTGGAAGTGGCCTTGGCTCATGACACCTGAAAGGTGACTAAATAAGTACATGGTGAAAACCTCACCATTGTACCCTTAATTCAGACACCGTAATGCAACATCCAAGCTTGCAACATGGCAGTTAGCTCTTACGTCATATCTACAGATTGTTAGGTCAACAATACTTGCATTGCCTAATTCTGCTGAAGCTTAGATTCCATCATATTTGTTCATGAGTAGAAAATAAGGTGGTTAAATATTACCTGTGTGTTTGGCTGAGGTGAAACTTTTATCTCTTCTTGAACAATTTTGACTACAGATGGGACAAGTATTTAACTAGGAGGGCTCAAAATGGGAGCCGCCAATCCTTTTATTACTCTTACAGCACACGCTACATTCTCCAGACAGCTGAAGCACAGCAAATTTGGCAATATTCTTTGGCTTTATGCTCACTTATCTATTTTGATGCTTTGAAGGTTCTTCTCTGAGAACCTTCGGACATGAACAACTTGAAGTCATTATGACCACAGAAAACACGTTTGTGACATTGTTTGCTTCCATTGTTTCTTTGTGAGCCAGTGTGGTGTAGTGGTTCAGAGCGGTGGACTCGTAATCTGGGGAATCCGGTTCGCGTCTCCGCTCCTCCACATGCAGCTGCTGGGTGACCTTGGGCTAGTCACACTTCTCTGAAGTCTCTCAGCCCCACTCACCCCACAGAGTGTTTGTTGTGGGGGAGGAAGGGAAAGGAGATTGTTAGCCGCTTTGAGACTCCTTTGGGTAGTGATAAAGTGGGATATCAAATCCAAACTCTTCTTGTTTTCTAGGTTTTCTAGGTCATGCTTTGATGGAGATCGTATTTCATAATGTTGGTCATAATATTCTTAGAAATATTTTATTTAAAAAATAGTTGCCAGCAAACAGCCTATATTTCCATGCTTTACTTTGCGATTTCAAATTGATGCTGGGGTTCTCTCACCAATGAGTACAGTGGTACCTCAGGTTAAGAACTTAATTTGTTCTGGGGGTCCATTCTTAACCTGAGGTACCACTTTAGCTAATGGGGCCTCCCACTGCTGCCGTGCCGCCACGTGTGATTTCTGTTCTCATCCTGAAGCAAAGTTCTTAACCTGAGGTACTATTTCTGGGTTAGCGTAGTCTGTAACCTGAAGCGTCTGTAACCCGAGGTATCACTGTACTTGCTCAAAACTTGGATCTTGGCATCCAGGGAATTATCCTTTTCATATACCCACTTTTCCCCGCGCTGCCATGGTGTCACCCTGTAAGAGGATCTCAGGCAGCAGGACAAGATCCTAAAGCCCAATAGAACTGCTACCAGGCAGGGTAGATAATACTCAGCTAGACGGACCATTGGCCTGAGGAAGTTATTAAAGTTTAAAGGTGCACACCCATGTGTGAATATGCCTTAATAAAGATTCTGATTAGAGTTTCATTCCCCTTCCTATAGCGTTCGGTTGTCATCCATGGCATTATTCATATCCATCCACATCCAAGGATTTTGTGTGCAACAGTGAAAATGCCTGCAATTAAACCATGGCCTCCTACCCTCCCTTCCCCAATGGTTCATAGAATAAAAGGCTTCTAGGGTGACACATTTAAAGAATGATGTTGTCAATCTCTTCTGCTAGGTAAGAGTAATTACTGTTGGGGAGTGTGCTTAAACATTTGGCATTCTATTCCGTTCCAAGGCAAGTGCTTTTGTGGTGCCAAGGTTGGGCCAGAGATTTTCTATCTTACAGTACAAGGTTATTGTAATAGAATGCGAGGTTGCGGCCCTCACTTTTCTATGGCAAGGAGATGAAGCAGATGAGTTTAATATTCTAACGTGCTTCTTTTCTTTTTCTTTTCTTTTAAAAATGGCTACCATTATCAATTTTGTTGATAAAGCCATAAAGTGTTACAATCTTCAGCCAAAGAACACAGAAGAAGGCAGGTTGTTGGGTTTTTTGCAAGATTGTGGGCTCATACTATACAGCAAGAAACAGTCTTCTCAAAGTCAGCAAGAACAAGATTTCTGGTGGGGAACCTCTCCTCTTGTGCAGTCGTACCTCGGGTTAAATATGCTTCGGGATGAATATTTTCGGGTTGCGCTCCGCGGCGACCTGGAAGTAACAGAGCACGTTACTTCTGGGTTTCGCC